CGGGCTCAGCTCAGTGGACCCCCCAAACACACAACACCAGCCCGGACCCCCGGAGAACCCCAGTAGGACCCCAGACCACACCTGCTTACCAGCCGGACCCCAGGAGAACCCCAGTAGGACCCCCAGACCACACAACACCAACCCAGACCCAGGAGAACCCCAACAGGAACCCCAGACCACACAACACCAACCCGGACCCCAGGAGAACCCCAGCGGGATCCCCCACACAACACAAGCCGGACCCCAGGAGAACCCCAGTAGGACCCCCAGACCACACAACACAAGCCCGGACCCCAGGAGAGGGGGGCCCCAGTGGGACCCCCAGACCACACAACTGGCCGGACCCCAGGAGACCCAGCAGGATCCCCCAGACCACACAGGCTTCCAGCCCGGACCCCAGGAGAACCCCAGTAGGACCCCCAGACCACACAACACCAGCCCGGACCCCAGGAGAACCCCAACAGGAACCCCCAGACCACACAACACCAACCCGGACCCCCCAGGAGACCCCAGTGGGACCCCCAGACCACACAACACCAACCCGGACCCCAGGGAGGAGGGAACCCCAACAGGATCCCCCACAACTAAGCCGGACCCCAGGAGACCCAGTGGGACCCCCAGACCACCTGGCACAAGCCCCGGACCCCAGGAGGGACAGTGGGACCCCAGACCACACAACACAAGCCCGGACCCCAGGAGAACCCCAGCAGGATCCCCAGACCACATAACACAAGCCCGGACCCCAAGAGAACCCCAGCAGGACCCCCAGACCACACAACACCCAGGAGAACCCCAGCAGGACCACAGGGAATATTTTGTGATTTCAGCCTTGTTGTGTGACCTACAGTGAAGGTTATTCCATACAGCAGCGAGAGGGTGAGTAAGGGTGGGTAAGGGGTGAGTAGGAGAGAGGAAGGGAGGATAAGGGGTGAATAAGGGGAAAGCTGGTAAAGGTGGATAAAAGGTGAGTAAGGGAGGGAAAGGGGTGAGTAAAGAAGTTAAGGGGTTAGGGTGAGTAAGGGAGGGAAAGGGATGAGTAAAGGAGACTAAAGGGTGAGCAAGGGAGGGTAAGGGGTGAGTAACTGAGAGTAGAGAATGAGTCACAGCCACCCAGGAGGGCAGTGGGGTGTTTACTGGCTGTATAGCGCTGTACTGGGGCGAGTTTATCGTCGTAGCCAAATTAACGCTGTCACTTTGCCAGGTTTAACAATGAACAGAAATTAACTTAAGAGTATTGCTTTACACCGAGCCAGGCGGTAAACCCCTTGTCGCGATACAATGCGATTCTCTCTCTCTCTCTCTCTCTCTCTCTCTCTCTCTCTCTCTCTCTCTCTCTCTCTCTCTCTACACAGGCCACGATCCCTTAACTAATCACCGAAACGTTCTAAGAGCTCAGGACAATAAGTACCAGAGGTGATACTTTCTACGAGTACTATGACATCCACACCGGATGCATTACCAAGGACCACTAGAAGTACCAATAGACGCCACTGTAATTCCTCACAGGTACCATTTAGAAAGTATCACTGGAACCATCATCATGCACCATCGGCAACCTCTCAAGGTACCACTAAAAAACACCATCGGAAGCACCACTAACAACACCAACGACCCAGTCACTACAGCCCAAAAATCTCTTTAAAAAATTTCGCTGAATTTTTAATGGAAAAATGTCCTGGGCATTGATGCTTCGATTAGCATTTATCGTCTTTAATGACCAGGGCTGAAGGCGAGGGGAAGAGGGGGGGGGAGGGGGGGGTAAAGAAAGGGGAGTGAAGTGAGAGGAGAGGGAGAGAGGGGGTAAAGAGAGGAAAGAGAAGTGAGTGTGTGTGTGTATGAGAGATAAATGGAGGAAAGACGTGACATGGGGTGAGAGAATAAGGAGGTTACAGAGAGAAATCGAATCAGAAAGACAATGAGAGAGAGAGAAGAAACAACGACAATGATGAAGAAGAGAAATCAAGCGAAAGTAAATATGAGTCAAGTTAAAGAGGTTAAAGTAAGGAAGAGAAAGAAGAAGATAGAGAAATTAATTAACGGAGAAGAGGGGGACGATAAAGAGAGGAATAGAAAGCAAAAGGAGAGAAATAAACTGTAACGAGAGAAAAGATAATTGAGGGATATGGGGAAGAATGCAAGAGAAAGTGAAAAGAGACGAAAGGGAGAGGGAAAGAATGATATACAAAAGAGGGGAAGGGAGAGACAGTAGTAAAGAAGGAGGAGGAGAAGAAGAAATGTGGCTGTAAAGGATTTATCGAGAGGAAAGAACAAAAGAGGAAGAGAGGTGGAAAACTAAAGAGACGGAGAGGTTATATAAAAGTAAAGAAATCATAGATGCTAAATTTAGTGAACCTTGGAATAGAAACTACCACTACCATGTAAATTACCACCACCAAGGAAACTCCACCCAAGGTAAACTAACCACCATCAAGGTAAACTACAAACCCAAGGTAAAATACCATCGTCAAGGTAAACTACCACCTCAAGGTAAACTACCACGCCAAGGTAAACTAACACCCTCAAGGAAACTACCACCATTAAGGTAAACTACCACCATTAAGGTAACTACCACCTCAAGGTAAACTACCACCATTAAGGTAAACTACCACCCTCAAGGTGATCTACCACCATCAAGGTAAACTACCACCCTCAAGGTAAACTACCACCTCAAGGTAAACTACCACCATCAAGGTATCTACCACCATCAAGGTGATCTACCACCCTCATAGATCTACCACCCTCAAGGTAAACTACCACCATCAATTTATCTCATATATTCTAGACAACCTTCCTCCCCTCCTCTAAAAATGTTAAATTTCCCAGAGGCAAAAGTCTCTTCTCATAAAGATAATGAACCAGATCTCCTAGTTGGCATGGCCTCCTCCTCATCTTTGAACCTGTCCTCCTCCTCACTTCTGAACCTGTCCTCCTCATCTCTGAACCTGTCCTCCTCCTCATCTCTGAACCTGTCCTCCCTCATCTCTGAACCTGTCCTCCTCCCTCATCTTGAACCTGTCCTCCTCCTCATCTCTGAACCTGTCCTCCTCCCACTTCTGAACCTGTCCTCCTCCCCATCTCTGAACCTGTCCTCCTCATCTCTGAACCTGTCCTCCTCCTCATTCTGAACCTGTCCTCCTCCTCATCTCTGAACCTGTCCTCCTCATCCTTCTGAACCTGTCCTCCTCCTCACTTCTGAACCTGTCCTCCTCCTCATTTCTGAACCTGTCCTCCTCATCTCTGAACCTGTCCTCCTCCCTCACTTCTGAACCTGTCCTCCTCCCTCATCTCTGAACCTGTCCTCCTCCTCATCTCTGAACCTGTCCTCCTCCTCATCTCTGGAACCTGTCCTCCTCCCTCACCTTCTGGAACCTGTCCTCCCCACTTCTGAACCTGTCCTCCTCCTCACTTCTGAACCTGTCCTCCCCCACTTCTGAACCCTGTCCTCCTCCCTCATCTCTGAACCTGTCCTCCTCCCCATCCTGAACCTGTCCTCCTCCCTCATCTCTGAACCTGTCCTCCTCACTTCTGAACCTGTCCTCCTCCTCACTTCTGGAACCTGTCCTCCTCCTCATTCCTGGAACCTGTCCTCCTCCTCACTTCTGAACCTGTCCTCCTCCTCACTCTGAACCTGTCCTCCTCCTCACTTCTGAACCTGTCCTCCTCCTCATCTCTGAACTCGTCCTCCCTCACTTCTGAACCTGTCCTCCTCCCTCATCTCTGAACCTGTCCTCCTCCCTCACTTGGAACCTGTCCCTCCCCATCCTGAACCTGTCCCTCCTCCTCATCCTTGAACCTGTCCTCCTCACTTCTGGAACCTGTCCTCCTCCTCACCTCTGAACCTGTCCTCCTCCCTCACTTCTGAACCTGTCCTCCTCCCTCATCTCTGAACCTGTCCTCCTCCTCCTACTTGAACCTGTCCTCCCTCACTTCTGAACCTGTCCCTCCTCCCTCATCTCTGAACCTGTCCTCCTCATCTTGAACCTGGCCTCCTCCTCATCATTGAACCTGGCCTCCTCCTCATCTTTGAACCTGTCCTCCTTCATCTTTGAACCTGTCCTCCCCTCATCTCTGAGCCTGTCCTCCCATCTCTGAACCTGTCCTCCTCATCTCTGAACCTGTCCTCCCATCCTTGAACCTGTCCTCCTCATCTCTGAACCTGTCCCTCCTCATCTCTTGAACCTGTCCTCCTCCTCACTTGAACCTGTCCTCCTCACTCTGAACCTGTCCTCCCCTACTCCTGAACCTGTCCCTCCCCATCTCTGAACCTGTCCTCCTCATCTCTGAACCTGTCCTCCTCCTCATCTCTGAACCTGTCCTCCCTCACTTCAACTCTCCTCCTCCTCATCTCTTGAACCTGTCCTCCTCCCTCACTCTGAACCTGTCCTCCCTCATCTCTGAACCTGTCCTCCTCCTCACTTGAACCTGTCCTCCTAATCTCTGAACCTGTCCTCCTCCTCATCTTCTGAACCTGTCCCTCTCATCTCTGAACCTGTCCTCCTCCTCACTTCTGAACCTGTCCTCCTCTCACTTCTGAACCTGTCCTCCTCCTCACTTCTGAACCTGTCCTCCTCCTCATCCTGAACCTGTCCTCCCTATCTCTGAACCTGTCCTCCTCCTCACTTGAACCTGTCTCCTCCTCTCTGAACCTGTCCTCCTCATCTCTGAACCTGTCCTCCTCCTCACTTCTGAACCTGTCCTCCTCTCACTTCTGAACCTGTCTCCTCCTCTATCTCTGAACCTGTCCTCCTCCCTCACTCTGAACCTGTCCTCCTCCTCATCTTCTGAACCTGTCCTCCCCACTTCTGAACCTGTCCTCCTCCTCACTCTGAACCTGTCCTCCCTCCTCACTTCTGAACCTGTCCTCCCTCATATCTCTGAACCTGTCCTCCTCCTCACTTCTGAACCTGTCTCCCTCCTCACTCTGAATCTGTCCTCCTCACTTGAACCTGTCCTCCTCTCACTTCTGAACCTGTCCTCCTCCCTCACTCTGAACCTGTCCTCCTCCCTCACTTCTGAACCTTGTCCTCCTCACTCTGAACCTGTCCTCCTCCTCATCTCTGAACCTGTCCTCCTCCTCATCTCTGAACCTGTCCTCCCTCACTCTGAACCTGTCCTCCTCCTCTTCACTTGAATCTGTCCTCTCCTCACTTGAACCTGTCCTCCTCATCCTGAACCTGTCTCTCATCTCTGAACCTGTCCTCCTCTCATCTCTGAACCTGTCCTCCTCCTCACTTCTGAACCTGTCTCTCCTCCCCACTTCTTGAACCTGTCCTCCTCCTCATCTCTGAACCTGTCCTCCTCACTTCTGAACCTGTCCTCCCTATCTCTGAACCTGTCCTCCCCACTCTGAACCTGTCCTCCTCCTCACTTCTGAACCTGTCCCTCCTCATCCTGAACCTGTCCTCCTCATCTCTGAACCTGTCCTCCTCCTCACTTCTGAACCTGTCCTCCTCCCTCACTTCTGAACCTGTCCTCCTCCTCACTCTTGAACCTGTCCTCCTCCCTCATTCTTGAACCTGTCCTCCTCCCTCATCTCTGAACCTGTCCCTCCCTCCCCTCATCTCTGAACCTGTCCTCCTCCCTCATCTTTGAACCTTGTCCTCCTCCTTATCTCTTGAACCTGTCCTCCTCCTCATCTCTGAACTTGTCCCTCCTCCTCATCTCTGAACCTGTCCTCCTCCTCACTTCTTGAACCTGTCCTCCTCCCCACTGAACCTGTCCTCCTCCCTCACTTCTTGAACCTGTCCTCCTCCTCATCTCTGAACCTGTCCTCCTCCTCACTTCTGAACCTGTCCTCCTCCTCACTTAAATCTGTCCTCCTCCTCATCTCTCTGAACCTGTCCTCCTCCT